GCTTTAATAACCTCTGATAAGTGGTTTGGCATTGAATTAACTAATTTTTGAGTGACATCACTAATTTTATGCCATTCCTCAATAAGAGCTCGTTTTAGGTCGGCTTTTTTTGTTATTACCCCTTTTGAAATGCGCCTATCCAATTCTTTCCACAAGTGTTCAATTGGATTTAGGTCTAGAGATAGTGTTGGGTACGGCAACACATGGGCGGTATTATAGGCCGGCTTTATTTTGACGATATGGGCGGAATGCTTGGGGTCGTTATCATGTTTAAATGTGAACGAGTTTGGTAATTGTAGTTTTTCGGCACTTTTTTAACGTTCTCTTTTAAAATATTTAGATAAAAGTGCTTGTCCTTTATTCCATCTACAAATACCAATTCGCCCACACCTGCAGCAGACATGCAACACCAGACCATCACCCCACCACCATGCTTAACAATTGGAGTGTCATTGTTTTTATCAAATGCTATATTTGGCTTTCCCCAAACCGAGTGACGCCCGTCTGACCGAAATATGTTGAACTTGCTCTCATCAGAGAACAAGACCTGCCTCCAGTAGTCAGATGGCTTGCTAAAATATTCTTTAGCGTAGTCCAAACGCGTCTTTTCATTGCCATCTAAGATGCACGGCTTTCGTCGAGCCACACGCGCTCTGTATTCGACCCTGTGCAGTACTCTTCGTATCGTAATCGGGTGCATATCCCTCCCCATTTCTTTTGTATCTTCAGCAGCAATCTGTGTTGATCTTATTTTGGCATTCACTTGCACCTTTCACACGACTTTCCGGCATTCATGGCTGTTCAACAGGCGACCTGTATGTTTATGAACTTAGCAGATTGCGGGTTTCCTTGGAGCGCTGCACATAACTTTGAATAGTGAATCGGTTTCATTCCATTATACCTCCAATTTCTGCATAAAGTTTGCCTTGATCGTGCAAATGCAGGATAATTTTCCTCAGAGCTATCGATGTCTCTTTTAGCTTAGGTGCCATTATTAAGAAAAGTAAAAATATATGCTCAATTCTTACAAAATGTTCTATATTAAAATTCAAATTGCCAAAACAATTTTGCCCAATCGGTCAAATCGTAAAAAAAAAAAATACTAAGTGTGCCAATAATTAGATTCAGCAAAATTTAGCTTTTTTTTTTTTGTTATTTAATTTTAAAAAAATGTACGATGAAGTTTTTCGCAATATTTTTTTATATAATTTAAAAAATACTCTTTTCTATTTGGTTAATTTTTTGCTTCATTAAAAAAACGTTTCAAAATACTTTAAAAATTGGTATAAATTTTAAAAACCTTGCTGTGCCAATAATTTAGTTCGTCACTGTATACATACTTTGTGGGGTCTGCCACGTCTCCTTCTGCCTGTTACATACAATGGGTTCAGGATATAACAAGTAAGAAAGCTCTAGTCGAGATCCCCTGAACCCTACGCACATGCACACACATACGCTCACAGACAGACATACGCACGCACTCATAAACACGCAATGGCTGCAGTGCACTATAGGAAAAAGTAAAATGTATAAAGTAAAATGTATTTTACAAAATTTTTTCGGAACTGTCCCTACTATATAACGTAGGGTTGAAAGTCACCTGACCCAGAGTTGTTCTGTAAGCAAAAAAAAAAAAAACGCGAGATTTTGGTGCAGCTTTCATGTTTAGTGCTGCGGTAAATAAAAAGAACACTTTATATTTCAAAAAAAGGAAAACATTACTAATAATATATACTATAAACTGTCAATTCCAATTTTTGGGTGCATTTGTTTCATTGTCTAATTTTTCTATATTTTGATGTCGTGTATTTAACTAAAAAATAAAAAAAAATGTTCGTTTTTAGTGAAGTATAAGTTACAAATAGAGGAAAGTAGTGATGAAGCTTAATTGTAAACGTGTTGTCTAAACCCTCTATTATTAGAGGATATTAACCGTTTTTGCTCCTTTTTGCTCCATTTCGAAAAAATAACAATTTTCTAGTAAAAGATGAGTTAAACGCTGAGAATTTGTAGACGTATGGTCAAGCAAAAATCGCCAAGTAGAGCAAAAAAAAATTTTTTGATTTTATTAAAAATATTTGCCAAAAACTAGCCGGAATCTATAAAAATTCAAAATAGGTCATTCATGGGTATAATATTGAGAAACTTAAAAGCCGAGGTCCTCGCGAAATAAAATTCTCCATAAGGAATTTAATTATGAAGAAGCTGGCACTCAAGTGCAAATAAAATTTGCTACTGATCTTGCAAGACAAGAGGAACACACTATTTGCTGTCTTTTCTTAGCCTTATATAAATAGTGAAAAATTTAGAGCGTTCTGCGCTCAAATATTGAAATATACATGAATAGCTATGCTTCGTATCCCATGTCCCAACTGTGAATATAGTTTTGATCCATTGATACCAGTTGATGGATAGGTGCTAGTATTCTTGAAGAAAGCGCATCAGAAGCTCGGAACAAAATTTATACAAAGATGAAACAACATTAGGGATGTTTTTCAGAGGGTATTAGACTTATCTGATCAACTCTTGTTGTCTTTGTCTTCAAAAGAGGCAAAACATTTCAAAATAATTAAATTTTCAAGTGAAGTGATTGGTTGCTCTGATTGAGCGTCCGTCAAACGCGCCTCAGTAAAGATAGGACGATATAAGCGAAACCGGAAATTCAAAAGGAAGACGAATTAGGTGAAAAATATTAAGATTATTGATGTTAATTTTCTAAATATGTTATAAGTGAAACAGAAAAAAAAAATTTTTTTTTTAAATTAAAAAAAAATTTTTTTTAAATAATTTTACAGGGTATAACTGAATTGTCATACACTTTTACATTTTTGTATTATATTATGACTTATTTTAATAATTTTTATCAGAAAATATGTGCTGTAAGCTTTATGTTGAATATTAGTAAAAATTATGTCTAAAGAACTCATAATTGAAATAACAGGTAACAAGGTGGAGGGGCGAAGGCATGGTCTAATACGATTAGAAAAATTCGAAATTCTAAATTAATCTATCTTAGGTGTATGTAAAATTTCAACCTACTAGCTCTATTTTTAGAATTGATGCCAAAATTTCGGGCTTTTTTCCTATAGTGCAGTGGTGGCTTGGTATGGGAAATTAATTGTTTAATAACTTTTCTGGTAAATTAAAAAAAAAAAATCCGGAATTCTATCAAGTGCATATGAATCTAAATTTAAAATTTTGCGACTCTAGCCTTAAAGATGTAGCAGATATAAATTTATTACTGGTTTTCGATGTGTTTAATCGATAGCAAAATAACGGGGCAAGTTATCGATTTTTGAAGCAAAACTCGATATCCGCGTGGTATACATGGACCTAGGAAAACAATTTCAAGTCTCTAGCTCTTATATCTTCTGAAATTGACGCGTTCAAACATACGTACAGACAGACAGACGGACAGGGCCAAATCAACTCAGCTCGTCGCCCTGATCAAGAATATATATGCTTAATGGGGTCTGCCACGCCTGCTTCTGTCTGTTACATATGTACATTTCAACAAAACCATTATACCCTGATTTTCCATTTTCAATGGGTTCAGGGTATAAAAATACCTATAAACGATCGCATTCCGATTTGCACACTGGGCCTAATCAGGTACATTACATTACATTATTTTTTAATTCATTCTGACAGTCAAGCCCACGATCATTGAAATAAAAGCATTTACTTACCTATAAACGCGATTCTGCAATTCGAGCCCAAAATTGTTCACACAATTCTAAGTTGTGGTAGGCACACGCCAATGTTCATGTCCCATGCATACACACACGCACATACACACATGCATATAGGCATTCAAATGCTTCAAGTGATATCCCATAATTGTGAGCATCGCGTCCCCTGCGTACAAACAATCAAACGTATGTATGTAAATGTGTGCAGTTCACAATATCTACGAAATGCTGGGCTTTAAAAATGCTACAGGCAGCCAGAGCTTCGTACACGCCCACAAATAATGATAAAAACGTAAACTTTTTGCACGAGCATGGTAAACAGTTTTGACGAGTTCGGAATACTCTTCACTCAGAAGGAAAGACATGGGTTCTTGCTGCGAAGAAATTTCAATTTTTGTGAGCTGCTGCTTGTGCTCACATGCATGCATACATATACATATTTGAGAGAGCAGAGAGCAAGGGAACATTGAGCATAAAGAGATCTTTTGTTTAACAGCCGACCATCTCGGTCGAGCGCATGAAGCGAAATGATTGTGCTTTCGTATATTTTCGTAGCCCGAACCTAAAATTGAGGAGCCGAGCAAAGACGAAGTTGTGTGGAACGCAAAGCTCGAAAAAGAGTGTACAAAACGCTTTACACTACGTGTCCGGTCTATGTATGTGTTCAATGGTAAGTGATGAGACGTTGAAGATGTTTCAGTTTTCATCTTCTTAATCGGTTTCACCTAAGCAATCTGAGATTGTTAAACAATTTTGAAAATTTACATATTCACTATGATATTTAGGGGTATACTATTTCCATTACATAGTTTTTTAAATCTAAAAACTTCTTTTTTGAAATACTTAACTTGCTCCTATATAAACTTTTAATATTTTGATTCAAGTTTGATATTTAAATATTTTTTTTTCGTGTTTTCGAAATGTTCATAATGTAAGTCAATTTGATTATTAAATAATTTTTTGGCAAAAATATAATTTCGCAATTATGCTTCCGACTTGATGCACTATGGAATGTAAATGCAAGATTTAGATATTTTAGCGCAAAAGCTATACAATATATATTTTATGATTGAATTTTATGCCGTGTAGGCGATACGTAGGGAATTAGAACCAAATATTAAGTCTACTATTCTGAGATCGACGAGTACCTTCATAACCCTTTTTCTGCCTATATTTAAATGGAATCATTATATCCTGCCTTTTTCAATTGGTTTAGAGTATGAAAAATGTTTATTTTTATATATACATATATAATTTTATACTCACTCTTCAACTATTTAAATATATTACTATAAAAACGCAGTATAGTTAAAAATATAATTATAGTTGTATAGTTTAATTTTATATAAAATCAGTAGAAAAAGAAACGGAGTCATGGCCGAAGTTAAAATCTATTGTTTTATACATTTAATATGTCATTCACTACTATATCTTCCTTGTAGCGGTTGAAAGTCTTCTAATTCCGAGTCTTCAATTTCGCAAAGTCGAACGGAGAGATTGCTGTCTGACCCAGACTTTCCAGTCGCATTTGGAAAAAGATATATTTCTTCTGAATTACCTGAAAACGAATACAAAGGTACCAATTGTTAAACTGTATACTTGAGAAGATTAAAACTATTAATCAGCGACCGCAAATAAGAGTTATGAATTTTAAAAAATTTAGGCTTAAAAGAAGCCCCAAGAAGAGACAGGAAATTACATATAATATATTTTTGTACGGCAAATTAAAAAAAAAGGATTTGCAATTTTTTGTAAAAAAAATCTTTTTAATAATTATAAATTTTATAAAAATCAAAAATAATTACAGATCAATTTTTATATAAAAATCAAATCACAGCTCTTGTTTTCAATTTTGACAGAAATCGAAGTTCTAAAAAGTACATATAAATTTACATTTAACATTTTGCGACTCTAGCCTTAAAGATATAGCAGATATAAATTTATTACTAGTTTTCGATAATGCATTTAATCGATAACAAAATAACGGGGCAAGTTCTCGATTTTCGAAGCAAAACTCGATATGCGCGTGGTATACACGGAACTAGGAAAAAATTCAAGTCTCTAGCTCTTATATCTCCTGAAATCGACGCGTTCAAACATACAGACAGAAGGACAGACGGACGGACGGATAGACGGACGGACGAACAGGTCTAAATCAACTCAGCTCGTCGCCCTGATCAAGATTATATAAGTTAAGCGCTCCCATACTAGAGTACTAGTGATTGGGGGACGCTGTGTTGGGTTCTTGTGAATATATAACAACTTTGTGTTCAATGAAATAATATATTTTATATAATTTGTAACAATAGGTCTAAACTCTCCCCAGTCCGAATATAAACTGAACTAAATCTGTTCAACTGGTTAGGTTCTCCCCTTGAATGTCTGAATGGACTCTCCAGCCTCCTTAGATTGTCGAAAGTCTTAACTCATCCCCATCTAAATATCTGCGTCCCGCAGATCAGGGTGCATATGTCCATTATAACGATATTCATCCAATATAAATTGTCCAATATAATGATAATTATCCAATATAAATTGCCCAATTGGATTGGAACAATTTATTTGTACTTGCCTTTTTAATAAGTTATTTTTATAGAATTATTGACACGTCACCATTTCCCTTTATTTCCGTGAAGAATGTGGGTCCCTGCTCGGGCGCCAGTTAAGCGCTCCCATACTAGAGTACTAGTGATTGGAGGACGCTGTGTTGGGTTCTTGTGAATATATAACAGCTTTGTATTCAATGAAATAATATATATAATATATTTTATATAATTTGGAACAATAGGTCTAAACTCTCTCTAGTCCGAATATAAACTGAACTAAATCTGTTCTACTCGTTAGGTTCTCCCCTTGAATGTCTGACTGGACTCTCCAGCCTCCTTAGATTGTCGAAAGTCTTAACTTATATACTGTGTGCGGTCTGCCACGCCTGCTTCTGCCTCTTACATACATTTCAACAAAACCATTATACCCTGATTTCCCATTTCCAATGGGTTCAGATTGGGCATCCTAACAAGTTCACAATAATAGTTTATTTCGTTTTTATAATATATAATACACATGTCGCCAATTTTTGCATCAAATGCATACGAATTGTAAATAAATATAATATACATTACCACTGATAGCTCTTCTTGGTAACTCCTTTTTCAGCATAGCTGTCTCATTATTGGAGCTTTCCGCCTCAGTGTCACTTGGAGTATGTAATGTAGGTAAATACGAATCAGGATGTCGCAAATATACTTTGCCTGGTAATGATGAAAAACAATAAATATTCTAAAATATTCATTTAAAATATAAATATAAATATATATAAAAGAGAGTTGTGTAAAAGTGTCTTAGCACTTATAACTCGAGATCTGCTGGACCAATTTTCATGGTTTTTGATTTGTTGGATTTGTCTCCTCCACGAGTAGGTCAGTAGATCTTTAAAATACTGAAAAAAATTTGACGAATACTTGAAAAACGCGGGTTTTTCCCTAAAGATTCAAATTTCCATTTATACTCAGTAGCCTTGACAACAGTGACTGTTTCGGTCCTATATAGAAGTAAATAAACAAATGTAGTCAGTCAGTCTACGGCACAGCCTCGAGCAGACCTGACTATTCAACAAATAAAAAAAAGACTATTCAACAAAAAAAAAAAAAAAAAAAAAAATTTTCCAAGTCAAATAGAAAAATATTTCAAATCAAAAATCTGCAAAAATTAAAAAAATCAAAAGATTAAAACTTTATAAATATTTCAAATCAAAAATCTGCAAAAATTAAAAAAAAAATCAAAAGAATAAAACCTGACTAATCAAAAATAAATAAAAAATTCAAAATTCGAAATTCAAAAAAAAAAAAGTTAATTATTAAAAAGTGTATGTTTGGCGCGTGCGTACAAAAGCTAAATATCTCGAATGTTCAGGTATTTGTTTGTCTCAAACATAAATTTGTGTAAATTATTTATATTTATATTTCTCGATTGTTTTATGTGGTTTTGTGCGAGGGCATATTCAGTGTTACTATTGATAAAAATGCCGCGTCCTAGAAGACCTAATCTTTCCCGGCGGACCCATAATGCAATTAGGCATCGGAATATCGCGAGTCAATTATCTGACGAAGAACGAGAAATCGTCCAAGAAAGGCACCGCGTTAGTACCCAGCAAAGAAGGGCCTTAATTCGTGCTTCTCAAAGAGAGGCAGCCCGTGAAACGGCAATAAGAGATGGTTCAAGGATTGATTTGAATCGAGCAGCGTTTCGATATGATTGCACCATTGACTATAGCTTGAATCGTTTAGTTTGCATTGGTCCAATGGACGTTGTTTACCAGCATTGTGGCGCATTGAAGTTTGCTGGTGAAACGCCCGGTTTGTGCTGCCTTAGTGGTAAAGTGACATTGCCATTAGTGGTCCCGCCACCAGAGCCATTGCGTTCCCTACTTTTCTAGCGAGCACTCAAAAATACAATGCCTGTTTCCAATTCGGGGCAGAGAAAAATCCAACAAATCAAAATCCATGAAAATTGGTGCAGCAGATCTCGAATTATAAGTTTTGTAACAAACTCTACTTTGTTTTATATATATAGAGACTGTTAGGCGGTACGAAGTTCGCCGGGACAACTAGTTTAAAATATAAACTAGTACAAGTAGTGGGCAATATTTCTTATTAATAATACAATCGCGCCGACCAGAATAATCGAATTCCAGAAGTACCAGAAACTTTCGTCCGTTTTTTTACCCTTGTGCACAGAATTATTCTTTGCATAAAGCGTTAAAAGTTTTATACAATAATTATAATAAAATTCGATCTTGTTTTCTCTCTTGAACTCACTCCCCCAGTAATGGAAACTTTGCTTTCAGATCATAGGAAAATCACACACAGTTCCCAAAGGTGAGCTGCTGCATAAACTAGATATTCGGGCATAGCTCCCACATTGTGTAGTGATTTCCCTTTTCAATTTATTATTTATTATATTTTCTTTTAATATTCTATAATTATTTTTAAGTTTCCTTAAAAATCTCTATATTCTTGGAATCAATAATACCACACAAGGCTATGAATTGCGGCATAGCCCCTCCGGACTGATGGTTATTATTGAAAAGTTTGTTTTCTGTAGGGTATATGACATATATATATATATGTTTTTTAATTGTTTCTTCTAAACTTGACTATATATTTTTCAATATTTAAAAAAATTTGAAACAATGAAATTTGAATGTTAATTCTAGAGTTGTCGAATTTTTAAGAAATATCGCATCGATGATATTTTAAGTTTTGGAAAAATATCAAAATGATATTTTTTTATGTAAGGCTGATGTCAGAGTGGCCGCGATAAGCGACGCGATGCTATAAGTGATAATTATCGCAGCGATCTGCAATGCGATGACATGACAGAGTGAAAGGTATCCGCAAAGAGAGAAATATTAGGAGTATTCAAATTGTTGTCATTGCGAGTGTTAAAATTTTAGTCTCAGTGGCAATGTTTTTATGAAAAACAGCAACGGGATCCATCCAATACTATTGACAGTTCAAGTATAATTGAGAGCAAATACATATATAACAAGTAAGAAAGCTCTAGTCGAGACTGCTCGACTACGAGATCCCCTGAACCCTTGGAGTAATAGCTATTTCAATAATTTTTTGCGTCTTTCAGCTTACACAAGAAACACGCACGCACACACACACCCACACACACACACGCACACACGCACACGCATACACAGGCATACATACATACACACACACATACACACACAAGCATAAACACGCATGGGCGGCAGTGTGCGCTTACTATGAGAACTCAATTATTTAATAACTTTTTTTCAGATTATGATTATAACATGGATATGCATGTATTTGCCAAAGCACAAGTCTCTAGTATTTAAAATACGCCTTTTACAAAAGTGAGGGTGAGGGGGTGAATATAGGGGTGGAGGGTAAATATTAACAAAAACCGAAATTGTATAAATTGCATACACCGAGGTAAGATTTACTTGGAGCTAGTGTACTTGGTTACTGCCTTTGTTACTTATTTCTTATCAAAGCTTACTTAAATAAATAAACAACGAAAAAGTCATGAAACTAATAAAGAATCACATAACAGGAAACTATGTATTTTGTAACATTTGTACGCAATTTAACTTACGCAAATGATTTGATTTAGATTGGAAAGGCACTGAATGCATGGAAATAAGATCGCTCCATAATTATTAAAAATCGATTTCAATTATCTAATATTATTCATACCTGTATTTAGTTTGTAGTCTTCATTCTCGCTTTTATTAAATGAACTGAGCCTTGAACGGGATTCATTATTTAAATTCGGCAATAAAAATGGTTGAACACAGCTTTCCATTTCTGAACCCACATATTCAAATACCATATCTTCATTTAGAGCATCTATATCTCTAGTTGGATCGATGTCTTCTACTGGAAATGTCAAATATTTATTGTATATTTTATTTTTTTACAAGTTTTTATTACCTATTCAGTTTATTTTACCAACTTACCATGAACTAAATATTTCCGTTTTGATTTAGACTCGTTACTGTCATTACTGTGGAAGCTTGAGGAGTCCGCGACTTCTGCGCCAGGAACTTCAGTTATGTCCGGTAAAGGATTATGGCTTTTCCGAACCCAATCGGAACAATCCCAGTGATATTGACCGTTTCCAGAGGAATCAACGAAGTTTCCATTTGATGTAGAATGACACACTTTAGGCATTGCAACCTGAATTAGTTTTCCGGTTGAAAGGCGGTTTACTGGAAAGCCATAGTCTAATCTCCGTTCTGTAAATTGATTTGATTTGTTTAATAGTCATTTTCAATAATCTATGCATCTACACTTACCGTTATTCAGCTTATTCTCGTTAAAAGTTTTTAGATGTATTTGTTCACACCACTCTTGCTTATGACCGGTGTCTCCGTCGATTAAATTGCTTGGATTTATATTAACATGTTGATTAGTTCGATTAACTTTTTGATATTCGAAAGGTATATTTTCAAGTTCATCACCAGCGGAGCCATAACTTCGTAAAATATCTAAATTATTCACAAATGTTGTGTTACTAACAAATAGGCTATCATTTATGGGAGGCGAATAGCTTATTGGGCGTTGACTGATTTCTAAATTGCTTATTTTAGCATTCGACTTGCACAGATTTTCCTTGTCGAGCAGTGAGTTAAGATTCGGTTGCTTCGTAGAGTGTTTATTTTTATTTTTTTCGTTTCGATTTCTGATTTTTGTAGATGTGTTTTTCTTAAAAGCTAGACAGACCAGTAATATGATGATGACAATGAATACGATAGTTATGCCCGATATTATTCCACTTATATGCTCCATTGAAAAGTTCTTTAATTTTGTAGAAATAGAATTAGAATAAAGAGGATCTCCGCAGCTTGCACCAGTAAGAAATGACGGACATATGCAACGAAAACTACCAGCTTCGTTAATACAAGTAGCTCCATTTCCGCATGGTTGATTTTCACACTCATTAACATCCATTTCACAATTTGGCCCTGTAAATCCACGGCACATGCAATGTGACACACCATCACCTTCTTCACATATTCCGCCATTTTTGCAAGGATTTGGAGTACAAAACTTTCCATATTCACATCTTCTTCCAGATAAGTGAATTGGACAAATACATGTGAAATTATTAACTGCTTGGTTTTCACAGCGCCCTCCAAATAAACACGGTGCTGAAGAGCAAGGATCCAAATCAATTTCACATAATTCTCCGGAAAATCGCGCATGACAAATACATTTGAAATTGTCATTTCCAACATCCTTGCAAACTCCACTATTTAGACATGGTTGGGTACCACACACTCCTAAACTGACTAGAACGTTTGCAGGATCACACTTAAACTCAACATTTGTGAATCTCTTAAGAGCAGCAATCGTACTACCTCCTGAAATGTATAAAGGTAAAGGCTCCATAGCAATTTTTATATTTGCCATACATCCGATAAAACCACGTTGAATATCTTCATAGCCAATAATTGATGGATGTGGCCGAACTTCAGCTCCAACGAATATATCATTTGACTGAATATTTAATATACCATTTACTCCAGGAGCACTACCCTGGGAAACATGTTTATTATCAACAATTAGTTTGGCACTGCTGAGAGTACGTTCCAATGTTATTGTGTGCCATGCGCCATCGGAAATATAAATGCTTGATACACTAACAACACCTTCTCCTGATCCTAAGTCGAATTTGTATCTTACAGCTCCATTTACAAGTTCTAATACATTATAATCAACTTTTCCGCTGGCATATAAGAGAGTTCCACTTTGTTGCACCGTTCTGATTTGTAGCGAGTAGGCAAATTGATTTTCCAATATGTTTTTGGCCTTCGCTTTATTAATTTTGTACTGAGCATAGCTTTTACCGCCAAATGATACTGCTGTTGATGAAAATTCATCGCATGTACCATTGTTGCACCTAGAAGATTTGATTTCACAGAATGAACCTGAGTATCCTTTTGGACATACGCATTGATACTTAGTTAAAGATTCTGATGGCAAACAGTTCCTCTGCGGAGGGCACGGTTCTGAAGAGCATGCATTTACTGTCTCATTACAGTACTTTCCATCAAATCCAGGTTTGCAAACACATTTATTTATTAAATTATAGGAAGGCGCTGCAAAACTAATAACATCAGTGTAAACAGTTGTAATATTGTTGGTTTCCATATTGATCAATTGTTTACAGATTCCGTTAATACAACTGTTTTCTTTACTTTTGCAATAGCTTGGTAATATTTCCTCAATGATTAAGTTTGAGTCGTGCTCAATTTCAATTTGTTTGCTGATTACAGATAAGCGAATTTCATCACTGCTGAAGAATGCGTCAGAATTTGGATTAATTTGTTGTTTGTGAACTGCAAAGACAACGTTTAAATCTGTAGAATATTGTTCACTGTTACCCAAAGAATTTCGAACTTGCTCCTGAACTGATATTAAAATCACGTCTTTTGGGCGACATCTCATCACGTTCCGTATGGATCGTATAAAGCCTTTTCTATGACTCAATAAGAAATCTGATGCAGAAATCTTCCTAAATCTAATCACTGTGGCTTCTTTAACCATTTCCATCGTTATCAGCTCAACGTTAATTTTAACAGTGGTGTATACCGTAAATTTTCCATCAGTGACAGATACATTTAGTTTATAAAGACCAATATCCAAGTTTAATGCTGAAAATATTTCACCAGTTTTTTCAGTAACTCTAAAGAGATGAGAAGATTGATATGTTTCGTCAATTGTTGAAGCAATAGAAAAGGTTAGTTCATCATATTGATCTTGATCAGTGGCATAAACTTTGCCTAAAAATGCAGTTGTAAATTCATCTTCAAAGGAATTTACATTAATCTCTAAAGGAGTTAAAATTGGAGGATATTGGCTCTCCTCAATGATTTTTATTGTCACCCAAGTGTCTGCATAGAGTGGAGGCGTGCCATTATCAAAAACGCGAATTTGTATTGTAAATGTATCTCGCAACTTGTGATTAAACCGTGAAGCTGTACTCAATGATCCATCTTGCTCCAATCGAAACAGTCCACCTTCATTTCCAGAGCGTATATCGTATGTATAAGGTATAGAATTAGGTGGCTCGTCAGCATCAGATACTTCAAAGGTAAGAAAAACATATCCCAGCGGTCTATTTTCTTGTAAGACTATGCTATAATTCGCTTTCGAAAATACTGGGGCATTGTCGTTTGCGTCCAAAACAATTATATTGACTTGTACAGTATTGCATTGCACCGGAGTCCCTAAATCACAGGCTTGCACATCCAGTATATATTCTGAAATAGTTTCTCGATCGAGTGTCCTTGCCAGATTTATTGTTCCGTTGCTATTGTTTATTTGAAATTGTCTTAAGCTATCGCCTTTCACAATATCATATTTAATGATGCCATTCAAGTTGGAATCCTCATCAGTGGCTTTAATATCTATTATGGGAGTATTCAGTAAACTATCCTCCTTCACACTGCTTCGAAATATGTTTTGCGTAAACGTTGGCATGTTATCATTAACATCATCTATGGAGATATTAACATATGCGATGCTGCTAAGCGGCGGGCTGCCTCCATCAATTGCTTGAACCGTAAGAAAATAAAATTTCGTTTTTTCAAAATCCAATGATCCATTGACCAATAACACACCTGTCCTGGAATTAATGTTAAATTTACGCTGTTCATTGCCACTTATTATAAAATATGATATTTCAGCATTAACACCAATATCTTTTGATGTAGCAAACACTGTGCAAACTTCATGCCCATGGGTGACATTTTCATATATATGATATGAATAGTGTCGCATTGTAAATTCTGGAGGATTGTCGTTTATATCCAAAATATTTATAACAATTTTTGCAATTGAAGACAGCTTTGGTCTCCCGAAATCCTCGGCGATAAGAGTTAAATTATACAATGATATAGTTTCACGGTCCAAGCTTTTTTCTAATTTTATTATTCCTGTTGACTTTGAAATTCTAAAATAATCACTATTTGTTCCTATTAATGAATAGCTTATCTTGCGGTTTATACCAAAGTCCTTATCAGTAGCATGTACTTTTGTAATCAACGTTTGTAATTGAGCATCTTCATGTATGCTTACTCTATAATAGGGCATAGTGAAAATGGGGGCATTATCGTTTATGTCATTCACAGTAATTATTATTTCAGACACACATTCTCTTAAGAATTCTTTCCCATCCTGAACGTGCGTAAAAATGTTATATTTTGAAATTCGCTCGCGGTCAAGAAGTTTTGCTACTCTTAAAATTCCACTATCTTTGGATATAGCAAAATCGTCGGAACTCCTCCCAGATAAGTAATAACGTAACTTAAAATCATTACTAGAGTCTAAATCTAATGCGTTCACTTCACCAATGGTTGAACCGACCGCTATCGATTCATTTATTGTAATGTGGTAACGAGGTTTCAAGCAGTATGGCATATTATCGTTAACATCTTTTATGTGCACTTGAACATTAGACTTGGCGGTAAACTTGCCGTCAGTGGCTAATATGCTTAAGTTGTAGAATGATATTTGTTCTCTATCAAGAGGTCGTGATATAAACAACTCTCCCGTTTTTCCAATTTGAAATTGCGCTTGATTATCTCCAGAAATAATGTAATACTCCATTACTTGCTTTTCGCTATCTGGATCTATAAGCAGCAAATTTTTGAGTACTGTTCCTGGAAGGGCGCTTTCTAATACAAATATCTGGTCCTTGGACAACTTGAATTGGGGTCCGTTGTCATTATAATCAATAACTTTAATAGACACTGGTATCTTTGAATCATGTTTTGGGTGACCGTTATCTGTGGCAATCACTTTAAAGTTAAACTCTGATTGTACTTCTCTATCCAAAGAAGACAAGAGAGTGATCATTCCGGTATAAATGTCGATATCAAAAACGTTTCGTATAGCATTTGATTCATCGTCAATATAGTAACGAACATCTCCATTCGATCCACTATCTGCATCAGTTGCCGTTATTTTTAGTATTGACGCTACTTTATCAGTATTTTCCGCGACATCAGCACTATAAATTATATTGTCAAATTTAGGATAATTGTCGTTTTCATCATTAACATGAATATGAACATCTGTATATGCATATAGAACAGGTAACGTTGCTGTTTCGGCAACTATTACAATATAATGTGTTTCCTGTTGCTCCCGATCCAATGTTTGCATTAAAATTAATTCCCCATTTTCAGATACTGTAAAAATTGAGCTCTTGTCTGAAGTAGAAAATTTTAATGAATAATTCCCATAAACGTTAAATTTAGTCAAGACAGTTCCCGGTGATGTAGATTCGATTATTTTAAGATTGAATTGAGATTTTTCAAACGTTGGAACCTTCACGTCCGAATCAACTATTTCAAGAGAAACCGGAATGTCGCTATGCAATGATGGCGCACCACAGTCAAACGCTCGAATGAAAAATTGTAAAACGCCCTTTTCAAGCTTTTCTGATTTCCTAATAATAACTATGTTTCCAGTACTTTCATTCAAATGAATTGTCTTTTCCAACATGGTTTTTATTGAGTTGGGGAAAATTGTATATTTAACAATGCCATTGACGCCTATATCTTTATCCATAGCCTTTACCTGAAATATAGAAATTTAATATTAGAAACGTAGAGATCTGGAGAAATTAAACTGTACTTGCAGTCGTCAAGATTTTTTTCTTTCATTTGATTACATATTTACATAATTACATTAATATTTGCATTACATAAATATTTGCATTATTTATACTTACTGCCAATATGGTATCAATGGGATTTATTAAAGAACTTATTACAAGCTTATATTCTTTCAAAGAGAATTGTGGCGCATTGTCATTAACGTCCTCAATGTATACTCTTAGTGTAGCAAACCCAAATTTACATCCACCATCAATTGCTTTTAACTGGACGACGTACTCATCTTTAATTTCTCGGTCAAATGAAACTTTCGATGTTATTATACCACTATTTCGGTCTATATTAAAATACTTTTTCATTTCTTCCGACGTGATTTCATAATAAACATTGGCGTATTGGCCAAAATCATTATCAACAGCTTTTACCTAAAATCAAAATTAAATCAAGAGTAATACGGAAAACAAACTGGCATAAACATATACAAACCGTGATTATTTTTTGTCCATTCGGAAGGTTTTCCGAAATTTTTGCTTCATATGTCACTTCATCAAATACTGGACTGTGGACATTTTCAGGGACTAAAATAATTTTTAATCTAGCATAACTTGTGTGAACTCCATCGGAAATAGAAATATTTAAAATCGTGACTGGTTTATCTGTAAAATTTAACATATTTTGAAGGTAAATAATTCCGCTTCGCTTATCTATGTTATAGGTTTGTAATTCATTTCCATCAACTATTTTGTATTGCAGAAAATTAATGTCAGACATGTCATTATCAAACGCTCTTGGCAATGCAACAAATTGACCGCGTGTCGCAGCTACTGACAGCTTCGTATTAAAAGAGGGCTCGATAAATTTCGGAGAGTTATCATTAAGATCTTTAACTGAAATAAACAAAAAATATATATATTAATACTTGATTTAGGTACAATTTTGGGAAGAATATAAATATTGATTTACCTGCAATAAAAACATTGCATTTTGATGATAATTGAGGAGAGCCGTGATCTTTAACGTGCACAACCACGTGATGGTGATCTTTTAGTTCAAAATCCAAAGATGCTTTCAAATATAAATATCCTTCATTAACGTCAATGTAAAAAGTATCGGAATTATTTCGACCATCGATTGATTCGATGAAATATGATAGTTTTCCATTAACGCCAGAATCCCTATCAGTTGCGTTTATTTTTAATATTTGTGATCCAAATGGAATATTTTCCGGTAATGTAATATTATAGTAGTCATTTTCAATATCGGGATAACAATCATTTACATCAATTACTGTTATCGATACTAAGACATCTGCATAAATTCCGGAAATACTATCAGTAGCTCGAATAGATATCTCATGTATATTTTTTTCCTCAAAATCAAGTTCGTTAACCACATACAAAGACCCTAAGAAAAATTTGAAGTATTTAAAGTTCACAAATCAAAAGTTTATATATACATAAAATGTTTGTTAATTTACCTGTTCTATAATCGATTTCAAAGAATTGTTCTGAATTATCAGCTGATATTGTGTAAATCAGTTTCCGTTTTAAAGGACTCTCAGCTTGGATAGATACAAATAGCGTAGTGTACATTTCAACATCTTCTTTCACGCTCACAGAATAAAATTGTTTTTCAAATATTGGCATAGAACGGTCAATAACCTTTTTAAAAGACAAGACAATTTTCAAATTTGGTATTAGCTTACAATATTTAATATACAGCATTTAATTAAGTATACCTTTATTTGAACTGGTACTTCTGTGCAGCATGAAATTACAGCCCCATCGCACGCTGCGACTATCAAGTCATATTTTCGATTATGACCTTCAATAATTTGTTTAATTGACAATTCTCCTGTTTTTCTATCCATTTTAAAAAGTTCCCCGTTTCCTTTTTTCAATTCATACCGAACTTCTCCATTTTCAGCACTGTCTAGATCGATAGCTTTAACTTTCATTATGATCGTTCCTTTTGTAAAGCCAACAGATACTGAAGCATAATATGGCATGTTGACAAACATGGGACAGTTATCGTTTATATCTAATACAGAGATATGAACTGAAGTGATTGCTCTGCGAATATTCGTATTGTCCTTATCAGAGATCGATGATTTTGCTTCAACAAATATCTTATACATGTCCTGCACTTCTCGGTCGAACATTACTCCGGTTGTCTTTATAGCTCCAGAAGTAATTCCGATTTCGAACATTTCAGTTGGATTAAGTATAATGTATTCAACATTTTCGGACAATGTATTTCCAATGACATTAATTAATCCTATTGTCGCAACTTTCGTTGTATTTTCAAATGTTGAAAACTCGTATATATTTTTTTTAAACACGAAGTTGGAATCAGCTATTGTCTCAATTTTAATATTTACGAGCAGAATGGTAGAATACAATCCATCAGAGGCACGGACGTGTAAAATGTATTCTTGACTTTTAAATTCATTATTTCTAAGAAAAAGAAAATTAAAAATATAAAAATTTCAAGTTGTCTACACCAAAAACATATATGTAAATTATTAATTTATTACAGGCTTAAGTTACTTAATACCGTGAGCTAAATCTCAATTGCGAACTATATTTTTTTACAACAAACAAACAAACAATTTATGATGAATATTTATAAAATATATTTCTCTGTCCGTCTGTCCGTCTGTCTGCCTATCCGTGTGTTTGAACGCGTCGACCTTAGAAGATATAAGAGGCAAGAGGTTGCAATTGGTTATTGTCCGTATTTTATCCAAAACAAAAAAGTATACCTTCTACAATATATATATATATATATATATATATATATATATATAAGATATACTTTTTTGTTTTGGATAAAGTCGATATCTGTATGTACGGACATTAATTGCAACCTCTTGCCTCTTATATCTTCTAAGGTCGACGCGTTCAAACATACGGACAGGCAGACAGACGGACAGAGATGGGTTCAGGAATTTATATCCTAATGTTTATATATTTTCTCCGATACAAGTAAGATTTAACAATTGTTGATTATTTAATTTAATAAAATATAGTAATATATATAATCATTTACCTTGTTGTTATTAATCCTGTAACGGGATGTATTTGAAAACATTCTTGGTTGTTTCCATCAACAATGTCATAACGAATGATGTCGTTATCGGCGTCAAATGCACAAACTCGATCCACAAATACATTTTCAAAAGTTGGTACAAACAATGTAACATTCAGGTCTCGATCTTTGAATACTGGAGGACAATCATTAACATTACTCACAATTATCATTACGTGAGCTGTTGTAACAGAATGTAACTTTGGTTTACCACTGTCACTGACCTGCAAATTAACAATTTTTAAATTTAACATAGTTTGCATTCAGCTTGCTTGTAAGAATATCTAAAAAAAAAGGGTATTTACTGAGTTATTAAAGGAAACTTACCGTTACAAAAAATGAATAATTTGTCTTCGTTTCATAATCCAGACTATGTAAAATTTCGATAGCTCCGGTAGTGGAATCAATCTTAAACATTTGGCTTGCCAAGTCGTCAAGTATATTGTATTGCAACATCGCGTTAGGTCCAACATCAGCATCAGATACATTTAGTTTTAAATGACTAATAGTATGTACGGTCAATAATATTTGTTTGAGCATGAGTATATGGATAAGAAAGCTCTAGTCGGGGTGGCCGACAAGTAACTCCGAATCATATGTATTTTTGAAATATACGCTTTTGGGTTTATTGGATAAAACAACAAAACCATTCAATTGAATCTTAACGTAAACGTAAAAAAAAACAAGTAAGAAAACTCTAGTCGAGAGTGCTCGACTAAATAGTACCCTGAACCCAAAAAATCAAAATGCCCATTTATTATGGCTGAAATTTCAATTTCGATGTATTTAAAAATATAAATAAAATACAAAACTCATTTAATAAAATATAAAAATATTTTGAAACAATTAAAACAGTTAACATCAGTTGCACCGATCGGGATTCGAACCGCGACTTCTCGATCGAGCGTCATGCAGCTAACACACTACGCCACCTCACTTCTGCAAGTGGTGCTGGCAAAACTCAAATAGATTCACTGCTGCAGCGCCATCTACCAAAACTAAACGAAACTAACAGCTGATGTGATTCAACGAATGTTTCTAGAAGAAGTTTGAATGTATGTGTGCACACGCATACGATGCTGTTGTAGCTGCTGCATGTGCGTTTGTTAATTGGCCAAATATTTGATTATTTTTTATTAATTTTTGTCTGAACGGAATTTAATGAAACTTTCAACATATGATTTACATATTATATTGAATATTTTAGAAATTAAAAAAAAAATTAAAAATCATTCACAATTAGCTATAGTGGCATCTGACTTGAACTTGAACTCAACGTCCGCGCTGTATATAAGGTCATTTAAAAAAAAAATGAAGTCTCTAGCTCTTATATCTTCGGAAATCGACGCGTTCAAACATACGGACAGACAGACAGACGGACAGGGCCAAATCGACTCAGCTCGTCGCCCTGATTAAGAATATATATATATACTTTGTGGGGTCTGCCACACCTCCTTCTGCCTGTTACATACATTTCAACATTATACCCTGATTTCCCATTGAAAATGTGTCCAGGGTATAAAAAACTACACAAAAAATTTGTAAGGAATATGTGTTTTTCGAGTTTTCTATACTTTATAGACGTAAACAGAATTAAAACTTTAAAAAATTTGCTTACCGTTTTTTCTTATCGTCAATTATATGTACATATGAACCCAAAGCAGCGGATTCCGAAACGCTTCCTATATATTCACTTTGCAGAAATTTCGGAATATTATCGTTCATATCTAAAACATGAATTATTACATTTTGACAAGAAGACTGGGAGGCCATATTCGTCGCTTTTACAGTTAGATTATAAATCCTGGAAATAAAAACGGTCCAAAGAATGTGAGAATATATGAATGATTTTATAATTATTATAACTATTGTACTGAATATTTACTTGATTATTTCATAATCGACATTAGTGTTGATAACAATAACACCTGTGGAGGGGTTAATTCGAAAGCTGTCATTGATGTTTCCAGATATTATATTAAAGAAAATAGATGAAGACGATCGAGCTTCAACTTGTGTTACAAATGACCCCACATTTAAGTTTTCAAACATTTCCAATGAAATCATATCGGTGAAAAACTTAGGGGGATCGTTATCAGACATGGTAACAATTATATGCACGGGGACTTGAGATGATAATGGAGGCTGCCCAAGGTCTACAGCCTTAACCTGCAGCATATATTCCTGCATTTTATTGATGTCCAAGGACGCAGTCAAATATATAATACCAAATGTTGAATCAATTTCAAACATACTTCCCACGTTGCCGGAAATTATTGAGTAACGAATTTCAGCATTTTTTCCACTATCTCGATCGATAGCCATAACTTGAACAATTTTTGAGCCTATTGCGGCACTCTCCGGAACTTTACTTTGAATAATTTTAGCTGTGAACTCGGGAGGATGATCATTATGATCATGTACATTTACTATTAATTTCGCGTAATTCCTCTTCCCTGGTGTCCCTTGATCCTTAACAAACGCAATTAATATGTGTTGCGATGTCTTTTCAAAGTCAAGTTTCTGGGTAACTATTACATTGCCGCTTATGGAATCTATTCGAAATAATGTTAGAGATGATGGATCTTGTGTAGCATGTAGTTGGTAAAATAATTTTTTATCCTCATCTCTATCAGTTGCATGGAGCTGCATAATGACAGATTCTTCCTCAATATTTTCTGATATATTAACATGATATATCTCTTTAGTAAATTGAGGTGCATTGTCGTTTGTATCAACAACTTGTATATATAGCCAAGTGTGTGCTATATTTGAGCCATCAGTTACACTAATTGATAGATTGTAAGAGGTTTGTGTTTCGTAATCCAAGTACTTTGACAACAGTACGTTTCCAGTATCTCTTCCGATGTAAAAGTAATTTCCTTCATTTCCTCCTATTAAAAATAAATTTCAAATTATTATAATAAAATCTATCTTCTTCTTCTTCTACATAAATAATTTATAGAACATACCACTGATATTATACCAAAGCTGATCGTTATCCTCGTCGATTGCCTGAATTTGCGTCACTAAGAAACCAGGCTTATCATTTTCCGTCAGATCTACAATGTTATTTATTGACTTTTTAGCGATTGAAGGAGAATTCGGTGAATTTGGTGATATAGGAAGAACCAGTATATTCACTAATGCTGTTTGACTTTTTTTAGGGATTCCATTGTCTTCAGCTTTAACATTAATTTCATATTCTGAGTCAGCCTCGAAGCTCTTTGTAAAAAATATATGCCCACTAAAACTATCAATACGGAACTTATTTTTCTTCTTTCCAGATTTGATTGAATACGTTATCCGACTGTTTTCCCCGTCATCGTTGTCAATTGCGTGAACCTAAATCATATAATTGAGATCCGATACAGATATAGATATATATAAGGTAGAAAATAAACAAATTATTCCGTAGGCAAACCATAAATACTATTTAGTAATTTATACGTACTTGAAATATAGATTCATTTATATGTGTCGTCGAAGGAACTTGTACTTTATACACACGTTGATCAAACACTGGGCTATTATCGTTAATATCTAAAACCGATACCACCACACGGGTAGTTGATGTCAATATAGGTGAACCATTGTCTGATATAGAGATCTAAAATAAATTGATATATATTAAGTAAAATTTAACTATTTCCAAATAATATATCAAAGTTTAAAGCAATATATCATAGTTTGAAGCTATTTTTTATATTTATTTTTATTACCCACCTGTTTGTACACACAGCATACGCAAAACAATTAAAGCTATAAATTGATTTAAGCTCTCAGCTCTATATTTTCAATTTCAAAACAATTCCTCCCCTATATTTTTCTGAAAAACTTTCCTATATTATCATCTATTAAATAATCATACCACTATAACGTTTTTTTATAGAAGACAACTAATAATTGCATTTTAAAGATATTGTAAGTTTCTACAATATAGTTTATAATACTCAAAAGGTATACTCAACATGAGCTGGTTGAGTCTACTTTCGTAGATATGCGAGATATACTCTTTTAATCGGTGTCATGGATATGGGCAAATAATGGATTGCTTGGCACAATAAATATATATACAGTGGTTCACAGCTTATTTCAACCCACACCACAAAAAAAGTCTGTTGGTCTATAAAATCTAAAATATGGGAAATATATAAAACTTAAACGTATGTTGTTAGTGTGGCGTTATAACTAATACAAAATTAATTAATTTATTTTAAAAATTTGTTTTTTTTTTCTTTGTTTTATTGAAAAAATATTTAAAAAATAAATTAATTAATTTTGTTATACCCTGAACACATTTTCAATGTCAGGGTATAATGGTTTTGTTGAAATGTATGTAACAGGCAGAATGAGGCGTGGCAGACCCCACAAAGTGTATATATTTTTGATCAGAGCGACGAGCTGAGTCGATTTGGCCCTGTCCGTCTGTTTGTCTGTCTGTCTGTCCGTCCGTCCGTCTGTCCGTATGTTTGAACGCGTCGATTTCAGAAGATATAAGAGCTAGAGACTTCAAATTTTTTAAAAAAATTTTATCACTAAAAATCGATAGTTCATCCGTTCTTTTTTATCGATAGAAAACTTTATCGAAAACCAGTTATAAAAACATATCTCCTACACCTTTATTGCTAGAGTCTTTAAATTTTTTATGTATGCTTATATGAAATTTATACAATTTTGGTTTTTGATAAAATTTACCCCCCACCCCTATATCCACCCCCTCACCATCACTTTTGTAAAAAGCGCATTTTAAATACTTGAGACTTGTGCTTTGGCAAATACAAGCATATCGATGTTATAATCATAATCTGAAAGTTTCATGAAGATCGTTTGTCCACAAAAAAAAGTTATAAAACAACTAATTTCTCATAGTAAGCGCACACTGCAGCCCATGCGTGTTTATGCGTGGGTGCTTGTGTGTGTATGCGTGTGCGTGTATGTATACCTGTGTGTGTGTGCGTGTGTGTGTGTGCGTGTTTCTTGTGTAAGCTGAAAGACGCGAACAATTGTTGAAAAAGCTATTGCTCCAAGGGTTCAGAGGATCTCGTAGTCGAGCAGTCTCGACTAGAGGTTTCTTACTTGTTTTAGTTATAACATCACATTAACAACCTGCGCACTATGCGCAAAAGTACCGATAGTGCGCATTAACTGTAAATTAAAGGTAAAGCCTTGAAATTTCGCGCACATGTTAGTAATATTAATACAATTTAGGATTTTTTTTTATTTGGGCCACGCCCTCACCCTTGTCCCCATACATGTGATTTATTGACCGATGAATATCGGTACGAGTGCAAGAAATTTCATAAATATTATAAGTTTTTAATGGAATATACACTACATTTGCATTTTAGTTGGCCTATTTCTGAGTAGGGAGGATAAATGTCACATCCATGCTTTTTATTAATTGCTTTTATGATGCGCTGCAATGTGGGCAATTTTATGAGAATTTATTTGTTTAATAATTTCTTTTGTAGACATAAAATCTTAATGAAACATTTAGAGCATAATCATATGGCTAAAATGTGTGTACATTCCAAAGCACAAGTCTCTAGTACTTGAAATGCGTGGTATCCAAAATCTGTAAATTACAAAATTTTTGTGTTTATTAACTCTATATACAACGCAAATTTGAAGTCTCCAGGTTTAAAAGTGTTCAAACTAGGCTGAAAAAACCAAGTAGATTTTTCGATTATTCTCGATAAAAAAGTTATCGGATGAGTTATCGAAAAAATAAAGCAAACTCGTACTGCCTATGGTATACACGAGTATGCATGCCAGATTTCAGCTTTCTAGCTCTTATATCTTCTGAGATCCTTTTGCTCATACGGACGGACGGACGGACAGACGGACAGGGCTATATCGACTCAGCTCGTCGTCCTGATCAAGAATATATATACTTTATGGGGTCTGCGATGATTCCTTCTGCCTGTTACATACTTTTCACAAAACCATTATACCCTGATTTCCCATTTTCAATGGGTTCAGGGTATAAAAAACGAGAAAAAACGAAGTCTCCTGTTGAGAGCGAGAGCGAGTGTGTATACAATTTTTCGGTTGTGTTCGTTATCAGAGCATACAGTTATTTGCAAGCTATGGTACTGAGGCATTCAATGATAGCTTATTTTCCATATCCCATAAATTGTCACTGCTCATAGTTTTTTGCAAGACAAGTTTTATTGGTTTCTTTTGATTTCTTTGATGAAACCAAATCAGCTTTCTGAGGCAAGTGCAGAAGCTAACTACCTCTCTAATCGGGATCCTACTTCATTATAGCTTAAGGTCTTCCGACCCCCCATATTCAGATTGTTGCCGTGGCAGTGTATCGTAAGCTTAACACTAGACGCTAGCCAAGGCGTATGTTTTTGCTTGAATCAATTCAGATTATGATTACATTTGCGCAAATTATATTTAATAAATGATCTAAAATTTTTGACTTTTTGCATAATAATGTCCAGTTGCACATAAGATATATTTTCGCTGTTTCCATTTTCAAATATACAATTTCTGACAACGCTGTCTTGCCTATTGTTGCTGTTCCAAACTTCTAGCAAAATCACGTATGTATCTGCAGCATACGATATTTGGCCAAATGGAGCAAAAAGCAGCAAAAACCCTTTATAGCATTTGATTAAGGAACGTTTAATGAATACCTTGCCACTTAAACATTTCACAACGGACTTTAACATTATAAGTTATCTTCCACGAAATACACAAATATTTTAAAGGTTACGGCTGAAAATTCAATTAGCAACACATTGGAGTATTTCACACTAAATCAAGAGGCACAGAAAATCTTTTGAAACATATAATTTAACATACTTTTGGACAAACTTTCCGTAATTAAACTTTTTCGTAAATTTTAATTGCAATGGACTTTTTTTACGCCGAAAGATGGGAATTATTTCTCACACTTTTTGCAATTCACAATGCAATCCTGAATCAGATGACTTCGACAAAGCTGAAAACATTACTGGCAGTCCCCAAAACTTAATAAAAATGTTTTTACCCCTATTCTTAATGCGATAACCGAAAAAAGTTGCGCATTCGAAAACAAAACTAAATTAGGTTTATGCCACACCATCGGTATTTTTGCCCATAGTGCTGCGTTTACATTTTTTGGATATTTCCAATAGTTTAGATTTTATAGACCAACAAACTATTTGTGGTACTGGTTAAAATAAGCTGTGAACCACTTTACATACATATGTTTGTTAAGGAGTCTACTGTATAAAGATTGTGAGGTCGATGTATACGGTGGCATATATGCACTTGGATACATCGACGTCCTCCCTGATCAAAATGTATACTCATGGGAACAATCCTTCTCGAATTTTCTGTTCTCATTGAATCACGGGTTAACTTACCTCTAAAATATGTTCTGCTTGATTCTCTCTGTCAAGTTTACGTTCTGTAGTTCTTAGAATTCCTAAATATTTTTAAATTTAATATTACTTATAATTATATTAAGTATTTCATTGCCTATTTTACTTACCTGTGTGTGGTTCTATGGAAAAATACCCAATCAGATTTCCAGATGTAATACTGTAGGTAATTGTTTGTGAAGGATCAATGTCGGGATCTGTTGCTTTGAGCTGAATAATTTCATGTTTTCCAGAGCTACCTTCTGTGACATTTACGTAATAGACTGGTTTGGTTGTCAATGGAATGTTATCATTTTCATTTTTAACATCGATATAAACCTTTAGGGCATTTGTTATTAGCAACATATACATAATTTACATTACGTGTCAAAGCTTACCATAACACAATTTGTTAAAGGCACGATAGCATTATCCTGAGCGCATAGTGTCAACCAGTAAAAACTCTTGGTTTCTGCATCCAGTTGGGTTAGAGACTGAATAGATCCTAAGGCAGAAATTAATTTAATAAATTGATAATAATAAGATTTGTTACTTCTTACCTTGTTTATTAACAGAAAAAATACCTAGCCCATCACCACCAGTGATAGAATATGATATTTTAGAATTAATATCCATTGAGTCCATGTCCCGCGCGGTAACATTCATGACTAAAGTGCCCTTTGGCATATTCTCTTGTATTTTTCCCTCATAAATGAAATCGTCAAATTCCGGGGCATATCGATTTTCATTTACATCAATTATTTCAATAATGACGGGCATATCAACTGTTAATGATGGGACTCCACAGTCTATTGCGCTTACAATAAGATTGTGTACCTGACGATTTTCATAATTTAAATAACCTTCTGTGCGTATAGCGCCAGTGTGTTTATCAATTTTAAAAAGATTTTGCTCTTGTGCATCCTCTTTAAGTGAGAAAAGAATTTCTGCACTTTTTCCCACATCTTTGTCAAAGGCTTCAATAACAGCAACGACAGTTCCTCTGGGCACATCTTCGCGAACTTTGAAAATATAATCTTGTACTCCGAAAATTGGTGCATTGTCATTAACATCATCAACTAAGACATATACCACGGCTTCTGATGATAAAGTAGGATATCCTAAATCTTTTGCAATAATATGTAACTCATATTTATCGTTCTGCTCTCTATCTAAGAATTCATTAAGAACAATGCATCCACTTGTTTTGTTAATAATAAATTCTTTGAACTCGATAAATAGGGTATAAATGATTTCTGCATTGATACCCAAGTCTGCGTCTGTTGCATGTAGACAATATACTATAGTACCTATTGGCGCATTTTCTGCAAGACGAAGTGTAGCTAACGATTTTTGTAAAATCGGAGGATTATCGTTTGCATCTGTTATTGTTATAGGAAGAATTTTTGAATCTGATTTTGTCGGCTGACCCAAATCATAGACTGTCAGGTTTAAAATATATTCACTTAACCTTTCCCTATCCAGGTAACCAATAATTTGTAGTTCTCCACTATCAGGATCGATGCGAAACACTGAATCGTAGTCACCATCTGCAATTGCAAATACGAGCTTTCCATTATAGCCCAAGTCTCGGTCTCTTGCCTCGATTACAGCTACCGTTGTTCCCAATTGTATGCTTTCATTTAAGGTGAGCTCTTGAGGAAAATTTACAAATTCAGGTCTATGGATGTTTTGACCATACCGACTAGGCGTTAATGCCAAATCGTTAACTTCAAAAGATGATACATTCTTAACATTGTTTTTCTCGGCCAATGCTAATGTTTCTGCCAGTCTTCTAGCTACACCAGTTTCTCGACACTCAAACGTTCCGTAGCCATGTAAACTATTGCTAAGATCTCTTGCGAAATCATCATCAAGATTTACATTGATAGTCAGCTCATCGGAAAAATGAGTGCCATCTGTGGCAGATACTTTAAGCACTCTTTCATTTACAGCAACATCCATCAAATTGCAACCAATAGATATTGTTCCAGTATTTGAATCTAAGTTAAAGCAACCATCTTCATTTCCAGATATGGACCGATAGGATATTACATCGCCCACATCGAGATCAACTGCAGAAATGGTAAATACTTCAGAGCCAATCGGTGCCGATTTAATTACTTTTCCGTGACAATTAACACGCTCAAATTGGGGCCTATTATCATTGATATTTCTTACAATAATATCTAAGGCAATTTCGGTTTGCCTTCTGTACGGTAGTCCCCAATCTGACGCACGCACAAGCAGTGTATAGTTTCTTTGCATTGTTTCATAATCAATTAGATTTGTTGTCTTGATAACTCCAGAAAAGTGGTCGATTTCAAATGGAACGTCATTTAGATTTGCTATACTATAAGATATGTATGCATTTTCACCAGAATCCTTGTCTTTCGCTGTGAGCTTTACCACAAAAAGGCCGGCTAATTCATTTTCACTTATTTCAATGGTGCTATTAATGTTTTCAAATATGGGATCATTATCATTCATATCATCAATAGTAATTTTTACTTTTGCAGATGATTGTTTTCGAGACCCAACATCCGCTTGATCAATGGCAGATACGGTTAATGTGTAAGTCGATTTTTTCTCAGCATCAAGGTGCTTTTGTGTATATAACATTCCCGAATCCGGATTTATTCTGAACTCTCCACCTTCGTTGCCACCAACCACTTCCAAGTACACCAACGCAAATTTCCCTAATTTGGGGTCGCTAACTTTTAGTCTAATGACTGGCATGTTAATCGGAGCCGTTTCTGGAATGGACACTTCATAAATTTCTTGTGTAAATATCGGAACATTTTTTATCTGCGGAATGATTTGTATCGTAACTGTTTTAAAAGTAAATTTGGAGGGTCTCCCACAATCTTCCGCTCGAAGAGTCAAGTTATAGGTGAAAATTTCATCATGTAACTTTGCGAATTTATTTAGTTCTATATAATATTCGTCTCTGGTATCTGCGGGAATTAATTTAAATATGCCATCTGGATTTCCATCTAGTATTTCCAACTTTTTTATTTCTCCATTTTTTCCAATATCCTTATCATTTACTTTTATTATCCCATAAATAAGGGAATCCGAGTTAGGTATCACACTCGAAAACGTTTTTGCATAAATTTCGGGAGCGTTTAGATTGACCTTTAAAAAACGAAATATTTTGTTTATCATTTATTTATTTCTTTATATACATTTTTACTATTACTTTTTCGAATATTTTATTAAATTGCATTCATACATGTATATATAGAAAATCGTTTTGGGATCTTATTTATTAAGTTTACTTATTATACCCTGAACCCATTGAAATCAGAAAATCAGATTTACTGTGTATATACATATGATGAATACAAACATTTTGTAATTTACATATTTTGGATACCACGCCCCCAATGTGTAAAAAACGCATTTCAAGTACTAAAGACTTAAGCTTTGGAATGGACATACATTTGAACATTATGATTACGTCCTAAAAGTTTCATTAAGATTGTACGTCTAGAAATTAAATTATTCAACAAATAAATTCGTATAACATTGCCCACATTGCAGCGCAGCCCAAGCGCAGTCGCTGCTTACTGCGCCGTCAGCAGAGCGCGTTGTTATACGTGCGTCTGGATGCATGTGTATGTATGTGTTTGTAAATATTTTAGTACATATCAATAATTTACCCTGTATAAATTACTGAGTTTGTTATTTCATTTATATTTTGAAACATAGCGAAATTGAAATTTTGAACCTTACAAATTAGATAGATTTAAATGTCACTCTGAACTGATCTGTCATGCCATTTAACAAAATTAAAAAAAAAAAAAGAAACCAAAGCGTAAAGGCGTAGAATCACTCAAGATTTTGCATGCATTTTCTACTTCGTAATTGTTCGGCTTTACAAACTCAGAGCACTGCGAGCGCTCAAACATACATGATACATACATACACATTTTCATATATACAAAAGTATTTTGACAACACATTGCAAAAACTCAAACCGCTTATTTCTGCGTGCTGAGAGAGTAACGGTACCCATTATATTTTTCAGAGAGAGCAAATATTAAAAGCTATAAGTGCCCAAAATATTGCATTGATAACATGACTCGTTCTTTTTCTGTAATTATTTGCATGGTAGATTGTCATTCTTTGGCTGGACAAAAGTATTTTGACATTAATATTTATTAAATAAAGTCAGACAAAAACTTAACAATGGTGATAGTAACAAAAATATTAATAAGAATTAAACCCTCCTTTAACATCTGCAAGCGTCTAGAGATCGATCTAACCAAATTTTGTAATTGTTCTATTGAAACATCCTGCTAAAGTCCTCAAACCTCAGGAATCCTCGGGCGTTCCTAATAAGTCTAAGCTAAGTTTTACTTTTGCATAAGCCCACACATTGTCTATAATATTGAGATCAGGACTCTGAGGTGGCCAATCTAATGTATTGACTTCAATATTCCCCGAAAATTCAGTTATAATATGGACCTTTTCTATTTTTGGATAATTTGGTAGTAAATTGCTCAAGAAGTACATTTTATATGATTGTAAGGTATTCCACGGAAATACCTGCATTATTCTTCGTGACCGATTGAATCATGCTTAACACGCGGGGACCTAAACAGCAACGACGTCTCCTCCTAATGAGCGTCATTAGGTCTGTCATCCTCTATGCTGCGCCAACATGGGCAAGAGCGATGGCAACGCCGAGCTACAGCCGAGGCATTTGCGCGATCTACAGGCTGAGCGCAATCAGAGTCAGCTGCGCTTTCAGGACTATCTCCGATGACGCGGCGCTCGTCATAGCCGGTATGGTGCCACTGGAGTATTTGGTCGCCGAAGCCGTGGAGCGGAATTCGCACGGGCCTACGCGACTCAACGCTGTCAGGGCGTACAGCATCGCACGATGGCAAAGAAGGTGGAGTAGCTCAGCTAAAGGGCGGTGGACGCACAAGCTCATCCCGGAGCTTGAACCATGGGTTAACCGCAAACATGGCGAGGTTAACTTCTACCTTACGCAGATCCTCTCGGGTCATGGATGCTTTCGGAGCTACTTGAAGCGCTTTGGCAACGAGGAATCTGACGAGTGCCCCTGGTGCGAGCGAGGGCATGTGGAAGACGCCAACCACATTCTTTTCGAATGTGGACGGTTCCTGGAGGAGAGGCGTCGTCTGGAAGAGGCAGTGGGCCGCTCCATCAGAGCGGACAACTTAGTCAACGCCATGCTGGAATCGGAGGAAGCTTGGGAACTAACAAGCACCTTCGCGGCCACGGTGATGATGGAGCTCCGCAGAGTCGAGCGATCGAGAAGACGAGCTGTCCCAGGCTAAGGTAGCGCATAGTGCTTGCGAAGCAATGCTTTACGGCCGTCCCGCAAGCACTGCGCGCTATCCTAGCCACCACGCAACTTGCAATTTGTAATAATTTTGTCAATAAATGAATATAAAAAAAAAAAAAAAAAAAAAACACACACACACATACACAAACATTTACACACACACATACACAAACATTTACACACACGCATACACAAGCATTTACACACACACATACACAAACATTTACACACACACATACACAAACATTTACACACACACATACACAAACATTTACACACACACATACACAAACATTTACACACACACGTACACAAACATATATACACACAAGCACCCACGCATAAACGCGCATGGGCTGCAGTGTGCGCTTACTATGAGAACTCAATTGTTTAATAACTTTTTTTGTGGACGTGCGATATTCATTAAACTTTCAGATTATGATTATAATATGAATATGCATGTATTTGCTAAAGCACAAGTCTCAAGTATTTGAAATACGTTTTTTACAAACATGATGGTGAGGGTGGATATAGAGATGGGGGTAAATTTTAACAAAAACCGAAATGCGTGCTATTATACGGGCATTTAAAAAATTTGAAGTCTCTAGCTCTTATATCTCCTGAGATCAACGCGCTCAAACATACGCACAGACAGAAACACGGACAGGGATAAATCGACTCAGCTCGTTACCCTGATCAAGAATATATATACTTTATGTGGTCTGCCTCGCCTCCTTCTGCCTGTTACATACACTTCAAGAAAACCATTATACCCTTACTTCCCATTTTCAATGGGTTCAGAATATAAAAATTAAACTTAAATAACGTCGTTTTACTTACCTGCTTTACAGTTATTGACACCTTCGCTTTGCTGGATTGATAAGACTGTTGGTTAATAGCTGCACCCCTGTCGTTGGCTAAAACAATAAGCTCGTAGTGTGAATTCTCAGCGTAGTTGAGCTGTTTCAGGATGGTTATATCCCCAGTAGTTGGGTGTATAGCGAAACTCTCGCTCTCTATTAAAAAGCTATAATAGATTTCACCATTGATCCCTAGATCAGCATCGTCAGCAATAACTTTTAAAATACTGTCGTGTTTTGGAGTGTCCTCAGGAACGGTTACCGCATACTCAGTTGGATAAAATAATGGACTTAAGTCATTTCGATCTAGTACTTTTACATGAATCGTCGTGTCAGTTTCATAGATAGAGTTGTTTTTACCATTGGCATAAGTAATAAGCGCCCGAACCTTTAGATTGTATTCCTCAGTTTTTTCTCTATTTAAAACGACATTACTCGTTCGCGTTCGAATACTTAAGAAGGCAAAGTTCCCAACAAGTCTTTCTTCGGCCTTAAACAGCTTCTCCTTATCGCCACTTATTATCCTATACTTTATATCGTATTTTGAATCGATTGTTATTCCGGCCAAGTCCTCATGTAATACTCCTTTAGCGTAGGTTTTACCAATACTGTTTTCTGGTATTGTAACATTATATGTTTGGTGGCTAAAGTCTGGTTTTGTAGCCAAAAGTGATTTTCCATGAGAGAGGTTAGCTCGGTACGCATTGTGTGATGAAAATGCAGGTTGAAGTAGGAAAACAAAACTAATTAATGATATCCACTGAAGTAAAAATCTTTTTTTTTTCGTAGCAGTGTGGGCATAATTGTTTAAATGCATATTAGACATTAGCTATTTTTCTCCGCATGGTATTCAGTCCTACAAATAAATAAGGATAAAATAAAAATAATTAAAACAATATTTACAATATTTTTTATATATTTGGCTAAATATACTCGTTCCACTTGTGACCGAGAAGTTTTAGAAAATAGATTATGACCTATCTAAGCTTGAGAATATTCAAAGTTTTCATAACTATTGCTGACCTCAGTGCATATTCACGCAGAGCTAGATGGAGAATGTTTATATACATATATTCTTGTTTAGCACTACGACCTAAATTTATCCATTATTTTTAATTTTTACGCATGATTTTAACAAAATCAGATGCTAGACGCCTGCAGCCTAAAATTAATTCAATCTCATTGCATTATGAAAATATCTTCCATTTACTTTATCTAACATAAAGGTAATTTAGAAATCTATGTCCCATAATACAGCTCTTTTTTACATAAACTATTTTAAGCTGCAGATCTACGTGCAGTGTGGAGTATCCTAGATTCTTCAGTTTTATGATTACTTTGCCTATGTCTATAAAAAGCTGAGCTCTAAGATAATAAAACCAATAGCTGTAGATTGTATGGAAGTCTGGACTTAATATGTATATATTCACCCAAATTTATGTAATTTTTATTTACAGTGACGAGCAAAACTGTAACACGAATTCAATGTTGCAACTTCAAGAGTTTGCACCCGGGTCATTTTTCAACAAATGTATTTATTAATAATTTTTTAATGATTAATGCATAGCTCTTTTGACTTTTTTTTGGTCATTAATGTCATTTGCCATCATTTTTGTGTACCGTCGCACTATTTCAGCAAGAATCGCGCACCAAATGTCCTTGTTCCTATCCCATAGCTCTATCATTCCACTTGGAGCCACCTATAATTCGCAGGCTGCGATTTCAAATGGCTCCATATATTTTCAATGATATTCATGTCTGAAGAATATTCAAGACACTCAAGCGACTTGAATCCTTGCCATATTGTCCACTTGTTTACCAAATTAGACGTGTTCTTTGAATCATTGTTCTGCATTTTTCAGTAGTAAAACCCATATGTTCACCTAATTCTCCCAAATTTTTTTGTAAAGTGATCAGGTACTATGCCGAAACGTTATTCCATCGATTAAAACCAAGAGTTCCAGCACAATTTTTATTTATTCTCCCTTAAACCAAAAGATGGCAGCCACCGCGCTTGACAGTTTGCCTTACTGCACTGTTACAGTCAACAGACTGGACTGTGGGATCTCTATGCTAATGCCAAGATTATCAATATGACTCAAAATGGCTGTTTAATGTTTCATCTGACCATATTAACAGTTTCAAGTCATATGGACCATTCTGGCCTGGCTTTAAGCTCGTTTCGGCATACTACCTGATCACTTTACAACAAAATTTGGGAGAATTAGGTGAACATATGGGTTTTACTACTGGAAAATGCAGAACAATGACTTGAGTGTCTTGAATATTCTTCAGACATGAATATCATTGAAAATATATGGAGTCATTTGAAATCGCAGCCTGCGAATTATAGGTGGCTCCAAGTGGAATGATAGAGCTATGGGATAGGAACAAGGACATTTGGTGCGCGATTCTTGCTGAAATGGTGCGACGGTACACAAAAATGATGGCAAATGACATTAATGACCAAAAAAAGACAAAAGAGCTATGCATTAATTATTAAAAAATTATTAATAAATATATTTGTTGAAAAATGACCCGGGTGCAAAACTGTAACATTTGACTTTCTTTACATTTTTATTTCTTATAATTATTCCAGCCAACCGAATGATTTCAAATTTTCAGGTAACATGGCTAAATATCATACTAACAAAATAAAATTAAGATCTTAAACATCCATAGAGTAGAAGCAAAAATATAGACTCTTCAAGTTGCAACATTGAATTCGTGTTACAGTTTTGCTCGTCACTGTATCTACATAAATACACAGAAACGTATTTCTTGGAGATCGATTACCTTAATAATAGTTTTCAACTTTCTCATATTTGTGTATTCACCAAAGCACTTAACATTTGGATTACATTTTGTGCAAATTTGGTGGGAATATAATCTCTGTACTCATTATATGGATATACATTTTAAATCTAAAGTCTGTCACACTTATATAATACGAAAAGTGGGGGAGTTATGAAAACAACAAGTAAGAACGTTGCAGTCGGGCGTTAACACTTTTTTTCCTAGCTCTACGAGTCCCAACCACTAATAATTTGAACAGCATGTCTTTTTTAATTTTTTGCAGTGCGCAATGTTCAACACATTATATTGTCAATACTACTAAGGATAAGGCATACCACTTTTTATACCCTGAACCCATTGAAAATGGGAAATCAGGGTATAATGGTTTTGTGAAAAAGTATGTAACGGGCAGAAGGAATCATCGCAGACCCCATAAAGTATATACAGTACCGAGCAAAAATGAGTGAATGTTTCACAACTTTGACTTTCATCACGCATAAAAATTAAACCATACAAGCAAATTAAGATTTTGTTTTTTATACTTGTTTATTAGTTTGTTCTTAACAAATAGAAAAAGTTGCAACGCTAAATCAGCTAAACTCAATTAATGAAAAATAAAAAACCAAAAAAATCCACATAAACTCAATTTTGCACGTTTCATAATTGCCAATACTTTGGCTCTTCTACTTCTCTTCTCAGCCGAAATCATCCAGATTTCCCCATAACTTAGCTCCTTGGGTATTCTTCTTAGTCGTAGATTGAGCATGTAGATTTACCGTGATCTTAGTCCTTTTAATATTCTTATTTGTAAAGCGATTTGAAGCACATTTTCTTTTCGCAACAAATTTAAAATAATTGATGAAATATAATTATAAAATGTGGAAAATTTCAGTCGACATTGAAAATAGCGGTGTGTGCTTGACCGGGAAGGGATTTCCTTCGCTTATTATTGCCGAAAAGCTTTGAATCAGCCGAAATTTGACTCCGAAAACTCAAGTCAAAGGTTGCAAAAAACTGTTCTCGGGCTCTGATGCTCGCCTAATGATGTCGAAAATTAAGAAAAACAAGCTGCTAGCACCAAAGGGTGTTTCTCTAGCAATTAATAAAAATGTTAGCAAATGGACTGCTAGAAGAGAAATTCGTGGCTTCGGATATGTATCATTCGTTAAAAAACAAACCTGCATTGTCCGAAAAGAATATGAAGGCGCGTTTGAAATTTGCAAGGGATCACAAAAACTGGAGCATTTATGATTGGAAACGAGTTGTTTGGTCAGATGAATTAAAATTTAACCGTTTCCAATCAATTGGAAAGCAATATTGCTGGTGCAGACCTGGGGAACGCATTCAACGACATCATGTAAAGGAAATCGTCAAACATGGCTGCGGCAGCATTATGGTTTGGGGATGCTTCTCTTAGTAGAACGTTGATCCTCTACATAGAGGAAGGATTATATGAATAATCTTCAAACCCATCTTCCCAAATTCACTGATAAATGTGCGTGTCCCCACAGAGAAAGGGTTTTCAACAAGATGGCGATCCAAAACATACTGTAAAGATTATTTAGGAATGGATAGGAAAGCAGAATTTTAAGCTAATTTTCGCTCCATACATATAGAGTCTATATATAAATCCTATCCCGACTTCAATCCTATTGAAAATCTGTGTTCAATAGTGAAAAGACGGGTGGGACAGTATGATGCAGCCCCAACGAACATTGACAGCTTATGGGAGCGCGTAGAAGCGGAGTGGAGCCAATTTCCGAAAGAAATGATTCAAAGTTTGGCTGAGAGCATGCCAAAAATAGTCAACAAAATTATTGCTAATAAGGGTTTTGGACTAAATATTAAAAATGTTTAGTTTTTTTTTAGTTTTTAGTAGTTTTTTTTAAACGTGCAAAATTGAGTTTATGTGGATTTTTTCGGTTTTTTATTTCTAATTTTTTTAATTTTGCTAATTTAGCCTTGCAACTTTTTTGTATTTGTTAAGAATACACTAATAAACAAACACACAAAAAAATTTGTTGATTTGCTGGTATGGTTTAATTTTTATGCGTGATGAAAGTCAAAGTTCTGTAACATTCACTCATTTTTGCTCGGTACTGTATATTCTTGATCAGCGTGACGAGCTGAGTCAATATAGCCCAGCCCGTCTGTCCGTTCGTCCATATGAGTGCGTCGATCTCAGAAGTTACAAGAGCTAGAGAGCAGAAATTTGGCATGCATACTCATGTGTACCATACGCAGTCATATCATATTTTTTCGATAACTCATCCGATAACTTTTTTATCGAGAATAATCGAAAAATTGATTTTGTTTTTTCAGCCTTATTTGAACACTTTTAGACCTAGAGACTTCAGATTTACTGTGTATATACAGTTGATTGATACGAAGACATTGTCGTTTACAGATTTTGGATACCACACCCCCTTCGCCCTCAATTTGTACGCATTTCAAGTACTAGAGACTTGTGCTTTAGAATGTACACACATTATTACTATATGATCACGCTCTGAAAGTTTCATTAAGATACTTTTGTAGACATACAAAAGAAATTATTCAACAAATAAATTCTCATAATATTGCCCACACTGCAGCGCAGCCCAAGCGCTGTCACTGCTTACTGCGCAGTTAGCAGAGCACATGCTTATACGTACGTGTGGATGCATATGTATGTATATGTGCATAAAAGAAGTTTAGAATGAATCGAATATCAGCTTGGAGGGATCAGGGTATCTCCCAGTCAAGCAGTCTCGACTGGAACTTTCTTACTTGTTTTCTCTTAACGATGTCAACAACAACATATGGGCAATCCTCTAGTGGCGAATGTGACATTCGTACGTTTTTGAATTAAAATAAAAAAAACGAATGCCAAAGCATTTTTTTTATTTTGACGAATAGTGAATCTTTTAGCTCTTGATTAGCTCTTTAGTTGGTGCTAAATCTCATTTTAGGCAGATGTTAGTTTTCAAGATAATCACAAAAAACCAAGAGGTTTGCAGGCTACAAAAAAGGTAAGTCGCTTTTAAAATGAACAGTTTAACCTGAGATTTTAGCGAAACC